TTTTTAAATATAAATATTTAAACAATTTTTGTGCAAAATTTTTCTGCACATGCATTTGAATATAAATTTCTGAGATTTTAAATCTGTTATTTTACCTTAATTTTAATTAAAAAATATTTTAAAACCTGCTGATTACCTATAGTATAATTAAATTTCAATATAATGCATGGCAACTGTTGGTAGTTTTGAAGTTTATATATTTTTTTGGCAAACTTTAGTTTTTGACATTTTTGACGGGTTTTTGACGGTTTAAACCATTATTATACCCTTGTCATGTCAAAAACCACTTTTTGACGTCAAAAACCCAACCCTGATATATATATATTTATCTTGGCACAGATCTTGATCTTTAGGATGTCAAAATGCAAGATTTTAACAATTTTTAATCATTTTGAGAAAAAATCACGACCTGAAATTAGTGAGGTGACAGCATCTAATACCAATATAAGTTTTTCTGTTATACAGAAATGTGATACTCCCGTTGAAAAAAAAGTTTCTAGCATAACAAAATCTGATAAATGTAAAAGTGGCCCTCAAAGTATTACTTCCCATATATGACATTGGGCTTTTTTCAGAAGATATTACATGCAAGAAGATATTACATTATGATCTTAAACTTAAAGAATCAAATCAAAATTTAACTAAATAATGTTGTCTAAGTAAAAAGTCAAAATTGTCTAGTTATCTAAATTAGGGAAATAATAGTGCTTTATTACATACTCGAATTTCTTTTAGTAGCTTCAGAAAATTATGAACACCCCCCTTGAAAAAATTCTGCGTACGCCGCTGATAGCAATATCTTTATAGTTATCATTAATAAACTGATATCACAGTACGACAAAATCTTAGTTCTTTAACCTTCTCCAAATCATCTTGATGGTCATGATAAATTATCAGATTTTATTAGTCTTCTCCGTGACTTCATATTATACAATAAAAAGGGGTTCAGACACTCAACTTACAAAAAGAAAAGTTTATATTATACTTAATATTATTCAATCCATGTTTGTCAAGTTTTACAATGATTTCAAATTTTTTGATGAAAGTGACATTAACTTTACTATTTGTTAACCTAGCATGATTTAAATTTTTAAATCTATAGAAACAAGTTTGAAACCATATAAGAATTGTTCAAAAAAATGGTCACTACATTTTAGAATTTACTAAGCTACGTTTTAAAAACTAAAAACACATTATGGGATAGCACAAATTCAAAGGGTAAAATTCAGAGTAAGTCCCTAAAAATACATCTTTTCATTTATTGAAAGAACAAGCACTCGGCAATGGCAGGAAAAACTTCTATGCCAAGTGTGAGAAAATTCCAGGAACACTAAAAATTGTTAAAAATTTAATGTAAAAAAAAAAAAAAAAAAAAAAAAAAAAAAAAAAAAAAAAAAAAAAAAACAAGAAAAAAGGATGCCATCTTGAAAGGTACCTACATAATTTGCAGCAATCCAGAGGCAAACCACAAAATATACATTTTTTTTAGATATTTCCATGTTGTGATCTGTCGCGCCAATTACTATTGCCCAGGTGCCAAGTAGATTTTAAACTTAAATTGTTTTTAAAAAAATATGTAGATGTTAGCCTGGGGGTTATACCTTTTGAGATGGTCCCTTTTAGTAATGTTTTTTTTTTTTTTTTACTTTTATAAGTTTCTTACGCGACACTGCCCGAAAGCTGCCAAGACCAGGCAATTATTTTGCCACAAAACAAATCACGATATGGAAATCTCCTTTGATTTTTTTTTTTTTAATAATTTTTGCCTTAGGTGCAGATGGATACCACTATAGAATTACCCCACATTGACATTTCAATTTCTGTGATCAGAATCTGATTGAGAATTCTCCAATTTCAAAGTTATTAAAATTCCAAAATGGAAAATGGTTAAGCATAGATAAGATTTCCTAAGAAACTTATTTATATTGAACTGTCATATATTTCAATTGATGTAGATACAAGATGTGTTATATCTTTTACAAGCCTATGAAAGATAATCTTAAAACAACTTATTGTTTTGCTAATCTCAGCAAGAACTCAAACAAAATCAGTTCACAGTATGATTTTGATCGATTAAATACTTTTAAATAACGGCACAAACCATAGAGTGCGACAAAAAAAGATAATTCTTTTCGGGGATATTCCCGTGTAGGTACCTGTTCGGAACAACTACGATCGAAAAAGGTTTTTAATACTACAAAACTATTTTTTAAAATATATGCTAATGTTTGTTAATAATGTTTATAATAATGTGAAGACGAATTATATCTTTAAAGTTTGTTTCCTTCTGTGATATTTATAAAAACGTAAACAAATAAGAACTTTATTTCGTCGAATAGCTTGAAATAAATGAGATACATTTAAAAAATGATAAAATTTGCTTAATGAATCGGTTGACAACGAAAATTAATCTCTAAAGGAAATAATTTATATAAGTTTCACTTTGTAACAAACATTAACTCAAAAAAAAAAATTAATAAATAATGATGCACATCATACAAACCTTTCGCACATGAAAACTCTATATAACAATAACAATCTTTTCAGAAATATAAATTAGTTAATTATTACAATTAAGTTCTAAGTCATGAGAGGTAAATGGTTTCACTTTCACGTCAACTTATAAACAACTTGAGGAAGTCTTGTTTCAAACTATTGCGTTATTCTTAAATCAGCTCCTCAGGCATTTCCCCCCCCCCCCCNCCCCCCCCCCCCCATATGAGAAACAAGCGGTGACATATACCGATCGCAAACGGTTATATGTTGAAATGATAACTGCGAAAAACTGAACTGAAAAAGTTGAAAATGTTCAGTGCTAATATCCACCTTATATATTAAAGCAACTCTTCTGACTATATTTTGAGGTATGCGGTTGCCATATTTCATTATAAAATAAAACTCATTTCATTATGGATGGTTGATTATGTAAAGCAAAACACAGATGGCGCTAAAAATTAAAATTCGTCACAAGACTTCCAGGTTACCACTTTCCAGTGGTTTTTGCACATAAGCATGTAAAAGAGTGCCATCCAATATTATTATACTTGTCTTGTAGTGTTTGCAATATAACACGTTCTTTCAGTTTAAATTTCAACGAAATAAGCAATAAATGAATTGGAAGACTCCGCAAGCATGCTATGATGCAATAGATGGTGTTTTCAGTAGAAATGTAAACAATAACAATCTCGAGGTGTATGCCTGCTCTAGTTCTGGTTAGAAAGTTTGCAGCTGCTTACTACATGTTATTCTGCGAGGCGATATTTTCAAGCGGATAATTTTGTTTTCAATAAAAGAAATAAATTAGATAATTTCTGAGCTCAAATCTGCCGTATTTCATACGATATTAATGTTATTATGCAATTCTGATGAGTTTGAAGGGAAAATATGTTTGAGTTATTTAGAGATATATTGTTAAAAAAGGTGAGATGGTTGCTAGATTTTGAATAACTCGCTTTTATAGCAGTCTTGACATGGCCTCTTTCCATAAGTTTATTACTGTTTGTTCTTGTTGCAAGCTGTGCACCATCTTACGTTAGTATTGTTATATAAAATGTATTTGATTACTTATTACTTGTGTTTATAATGATATCATTATAAACACAAGTAATAAGTAATCAAATACATTATTTGCAAGAATCTCAAAACACAATTATGCCAAATGGCTTTGAAATACAACGGAAACAGTAACCCGGAAATTTAGGCTTTACCGAGCTTGTAGCGTTCCCTAGTGTAGAAAACACCATTCATACAAAAATAACAAACGGTGATATTTTGTACTAATACTGTAAAATATCGCTGTAAAATAACTAAATTATATTATCAACTAATAAGGGATAACACGCAAAACATGGCAATCCTTATAATTTATTTATGTTGTGATATTAACTATCTTAAATTTGTTTTAGGGTTACGAACTGTTGGAATTTATAAATTAGAGAAAATTCTCCTGAATGATAAAATTACGCGCAAATTTAAAAACAAACCATAATATTGTTGTTGTTGTACTTCATTTACGTCCTACCAGAGTTGCACAATGGGCTATTGGTGACAGTCTGGGAAACATCCCAGAGGATGAACCGAATACACGCCATCACAATTTTGATCCTCTGCAGAGGGGATGGCACCTTCGCTTCGGTAGCCCGACGAACTGCATGCGAAGTCGAGCACTTTACGGTAGAGCAGTTTAACGAGGACCAATACCGCATACGGTCGGTCCCTACGCAGACTGATCCAAGTGGTCACCCACCCGCACACTGACCACAGCCAGTGATGCTTGACTTCGGTGATCTGCTGGGAACCTTGTCTCACCGATCAGTCCACTACGGGATCCAAATCACAGTAATAAAACTTTCTAGAATAATAAGCCTTTTCACACATCGCCTCGTCAGTATAACATAAGAGGAGAAATATACCGAAAGTTTTCTAAATTTTTTCCTGTTTTGGAAAGCTTGTTATTATTTACATTCAGTCAACCATACACTGGCGATCGTAATGGGTAGAGAAAAACCATTCGCTAGTACTTTCGAAAAAACACAATTTTTTTTCTTGCTGAATTTGCAATTTTATCGCACTTGGCGTGGTGGCGCGAGCCGTGTATCTTTATATATATAACTATGCTTATTTTTCCTTTTTATTTAATTTAATAATTATTTTGAAAAATGTTTTGTTTCTTGCGCATCCTAAGAAAGTGGGTGCTAAATTTACATTTCAAAATTTAATGGCATATCTATTTAGTTTTTGTTTATATGTTTTGTTAGTTAGAAGATAAAACGCAAAAAATTAAATATGCAAAGTATACTAGAATTCACTGTTTTTTTTAATTTCTTTTTATTTATTTATAACTTTTTTATGTATACTAGTAACATGTTTAGTCTAACAATTTTCAGATATACAAAAAATAAACAATGATATGCGATTTTTAATATATTTTAAGAAATCTTTTTCGCACCTTAAGGAAAGATTTTATTTTTATTTTAAAATAAGCAACAAAACAAAGAAGAAGAAGAAAGAACGAAAAAAAAAACACATTTGCTATACTTTTCATAAAACTGATGCATGCTAAAAATTTTTATAGAGAAAGTAATATAAATTAGAACTGTATAAGAGAAATTTTACCAATTTATTAATAGTAAACTAAGTCAAAATATAAAATGCAAAATATTAATCACCTTACTACTTGATCCAATTTAAAAATTTATTCAGTTTGAGGTCATAATGTTTATTTGTTGCATTGGAAAATGTTGATATTTGAAAATGTTTTGGAAGTACATAAAATTTAAATACATACCTGAGAAGTAGAAGAACATACGAGTATAAGTTTGAGAAATTAGTTTACAAAATCTCTTTGTAACGATTAAAGTTTTACCGAATTTTTGTTGCTCTACAGATTGTCATTCAAAATTTTTATTAAGAAAATTTGCAAAAAAAATTTAAAGGGTTGGTCATCTTTCCTATATTATCAAACACCCGAAGTCTTCCTTTTATTCGATCAGTCACTTTTTATAATGATTTGAAAATTTTTGCTTTAATCAGTGATGGGCATCATTCACGGAAATTTTATTCATGACTAAATTTAGTCAGAATAAATTTATTCGGAATGATTATTCATATGCAAATTTAGTCATCATTCATTATTCAAATTTTTGATTGATGAATAAATTCATTAGTCATGACTAATATTTCTGATTAAAATTTTGAATAACTAGTGAAAAATGCAAACATTATGTTATTTCCATTGCAAGTTGCGCATCGATTACAGTAATCGATTACAAATGTAATTAATTATCGATAATGATTGTTTAGTAATTAACTACTTGCAATGGTCAGGATTTCAAGTAATCACAGTAACAAATAATTATTATTTCACATTACAAGAGGTTATGATTATTTATAATCACAGCAAAAAGTGATTACAGATAATCTGAATTACAAATAATCAAGCACTGGGATTGCAAGCTATCGTGATTACCTGTAATCATAAAGTAAAATATCATAACTACAAGTTATCATAGTCTAACAATTGCATGTAATCTTAAATTCAAGTAATTGTGATATATATGATTGCAACAGGATTTGATGTAATTATAATTTCAAGTGAGCTTGATTACATTGTACTAGGGATTGTTTGTAGGTAATTGAATACTTTTAAAACAATGCATAAATTTTATATGTAAATGAATAGTTTAGTTTATTATTGTTTGGTTTACTAAATGCAAACTTTTAAACATAAAATTACATGCGAAAATACGTAGACAAATAAGCAAATAAGATTATATTGTGCTTGCTTGTAATCACAATAAAAAACGATTACGAGTGATTATGATTGAGTAATCAAAATATATGATTACATTACATGTAATCATGATTACATACAATCATAAATGCGAGTACATGCAATTAAAATATGCGGTTACAAGTAATTATGATTGCATACTATATGCTTATTCAGTTTATATGTATGTATTACTCATATGTATGTAGTTTATATGTATGTATTCAGTTTTTATATGCATGTACATGTATGTTTGTATGTGTTCACATATCTTTCTGTACTTAGAATAAAAGTATGCATACAAGTACAATTTATGATTGTATGAACAATGCATATAAGTTAGTATGTATGTACTAGTTGTACATATGTATATGCAGCATACGTACAATCGCTCATACATAGATATATTTTAAACTCATTCAATATTTGCACGTATGCATGTACATGTATGTACGTACGTATGCATATAAGATATATGCATAAATGTACAGATTTAAATACAATGTACGCATGTATACACAAACGTTATTTGTACATACATTATACGTGCATAATTTCGCACATAACTTACATGAAAACATGTATGCAACTTTGCAAGTACGCATGTAGAGACAGTATATATAGATTCATGTACGTGTATTTATACACGCAAGTACATTCATAGTACAAATGTAGGTAGGCACGGGCTTTGTACGTGGACGTAAGAACTTTTTTTATTCATAAAATATATGTGCATATATATGCATATAAAATTCATGTACAGACATATCATATAAAATTCATGTTCATATATATGCATAAAAATGCAACATGCATGTATGCATGTCCATATAAAATTCATGTACAGACAAAAAATTCATATACAGACATATCAGACATTCGTACGTGTATTGTATGTTCATATGTATGTACACACATATCTATGTACATCATCAAATCATGTGTATGTAATGTATGAGTGTACGTATGTATGGACAAAAATGTTTGTATCATTTTGCATCATACGTATGTATATATAATGTATGCATGTATGTTAGTGCATATAATGTATAAATGCGCGCATGTACAAGAAATATGTGTACACGTATCTTGTACATGCATAAATACATGTACAAGAAATTATGTGTATGTAAGCCAAACTCTTTACCTTTCAAACTCTGAAGCTATGTCTTTTCACGGACCGAGATACAAAACATCGTTAGCTCTTAAACGCCTTATATAAGGAATTTAACCATAAAGCTAACCATGATAAAACCAAATTCATAAACAAGTATGAAATTTATTTTTATGTTCTTTTAACTTACTCCAGCGTAACATTATTGCATTATAAGTTTTTATACTTAGTTGTGCTAAAAAGTAGTTTATAACAGTTTAGTTATTTAAGTTCATTTTAAATTTTTTTCTAATATCTATAAAACTCAATTTCTTATAGTTTTTGAAAGCAAACGATAATCGTATTTTAAATACCTAAGTATATTTTTAACTTAAAAAATAAAATTCTTTTTTGTCATGTAAGCATTTCTCAGAACTATGCATTATGTTATATAAAAGTAAAGTTCCACAAAAATTTTATAAAAATACCTGAAAAGGAATTTTTATTCAAATATCGATAGCAACGAACTATGAGGGGCGTTGTTGTATGAGACGAATACCTGCGACTTCTATATGAACAGTCATTCAAGTGCTCTGGAGACGTCTTTAATGTAGCGTGTAGCATTGTAACATTCCTTCTTTATTGTGGCTTATTAAATTTAAAAAATAAAAATGTTTGATATTCTTTCTTATGCAAGCGAAAACAAAATGGTATCTCTTTTTTTAGAGAGGGAACATCCAAAACACGTCGGAAAAATATTTGTAAATAAACAGAAAAAAAAATACGTATCTTCGTATTAGAGTTAAAATGTAATGCTTGCGAAAAAGTTTTACTAAATTTAAAGATCTAACATGAAAGGCCTATTTAAACTTTACATTCCATAGTTTTATGAATCATATTTCTTCAAACATTAAAATATGCAAAAAGTATACATCAGCCCATAGTTTTATATCGCTTAATTTGCAAAAAAAAATTCTTGCGAACAATTTTTATCAAGAAATTTTAAGTTTCTATAAAAATCCTTATTTATAAGCTAAAAAACGCAAAATAAATAATGCTTACGAAAAAAAAAATCAAAACGATTCTAAAAAATTCCTTAATCTAAAATAAAGAATTTTCATGTTTTTTTTATTCATTAATCGGACGTAGAAAACCATTCTATAGAGAACAAATTAGAAAAAAAAAATTATTTACAAGTAATTTTTTTATTATAAAAATCATCTGATTTATAAATCCGCAGAATTCCAAAATGATATGTTCTTCGTTTGAAAACTTTATTCTCAAATAATGTATGCATAGATTATCCCTTCAATACTTTAAGATGACGTACCACACAACGAAATTTTATAATTGCAGGATCCCGATATGAATTTCAATATGTAACTTAAAAACAGAATTCGCGATCGCAACACTCGAGTACGCCGTCTAGCGGGAGCCTGTAAATATCAGACATTAATTTATCACGTTTTCATTTAGTTCCTTCAAAATCATTGACTGAATCAGACGCCATTTTTTAGCAGCAAATAAGAAACAAAATTTCCCTAAGGAAAAGGCCGAAGAACTTGAAAAAAATCTCCAGAATATTAGTAAATCTTTCAGGAACAGAACACGCCAAACATTTGAAGAAAAATTCCTCAATAATT